CCTCTCTCTCTCTCTCTCTCTCTCTCTCTCTCTCTCTCTCTCTCTCTCTCTCTCTCTCTCTCTCTCTCTCTCTCTCTCCCCTCCCTCTCTCTCTCTCTCTCTTGTTTCCCTTCTTCTGTATCTCCCCGCGCTAACCGACCCTTCGCGTATTCTCTTTCCTTCACAAGTGCAATCGTGCGCGAAGGATGTAAAAACTTGCGATCTCGCTTTATCTCCGCGGGACGACCGACGTTACGCTACGATCCCTCTAATGTCGGACTTATTCAAAGCCGATGTACCACCGTAGGTCGTTAGATCGGCCCAGATAGATCACGGCTAGAGACTATGCTTCTCTCCCACGAGAGATTACGAAATTTATATTCACTCGTGAACACGAACGTTCGCGTTTCCTCCTTTTTCGCCGATTCATTCAGAATACGCTCGCGCTCGTTTCCCTCGAATATACGTAGGCATATTCCGCGCGAGAATTATTTCGATTCTTATCGTCGTAATAAAGCAGTATCGCCTGCTGTGCACGGAAGCGACATCCGCACCTGCCGCTCGTTGTATCCGAGTTAATATAACTGTTGCATCCCGACGGCCGGCGGCGCTTCTATTTTTGATCCACGCGGTAAAATTAGCCGCCCCACGACTCGTACGATTGTTAATGGGGTAAACGACGTCGCGCGACGTAAGTTCTATTTGTGCAAAGCGAGATTCGCTCTTTTGGTAGAGAGTTATTTATTAAGTGCGCCGAGTGCAAAGGGAATGCGGCCCGAGTTGTAGTAATAACGTGTCTCGTGTACTCACTTTTGTATCTTCATTCAGCAAAACTGGTTCTGTAAGATATATAGTAACCTTGTCAACGCGTAACTTATACGACTATTCTCATACTCTACTCTATTAAATGGCGCAATTAGAACTTTCTATGGTTTCGCAAATTCGCGAATATATCTCATATAATTATTCAATAATTGTTACATTATTTTCAATTGTATCGCGTGCCAATATTTGCTTAATTAATTATATACGATGTATGCGTAATATAAATAATTAATCGTTCAATATTGATGCGCTGGAGAAATGTATGATGCCGTCGCGCTGAGTTCTCCGATAAATATTTACCGTCGTAATTTACCGCCATTAAAAGACGTCCACGGCATGTACGTGCGCAAACACACTGCCTACTTATCGTAAATTACTTGCAACGCACTCCCATAAGAACGTGCGCTTGAACTTCGGGGGACGATACAATCGCTAATCGAGGTTGTTAACAGTGCGTGATAACGCCTTAACGACCCTAGTTGCGGAAACCATCCATTTGAATTCGGTGGTTCCGGCAACGGCCTAATACCTTTACAGTATTTCTTAATTAAGCACACCGAGAGGGTATCAGCGACCTAGAATCGTTACTATCGCGACCATTATATCTAATAAAAAAGAGAAGGGCCACAAAAACCGAGGGTCGCGGTAACAGAAACCATTGCCATCGGAAATATATAGACGTATAAAGGTATAAATTATTTTGTATTTCGTTGAGTTTTAAGAGCGAAATGGTTATCCAGACTATTTTTTCTGATTATACGTATAATACATATATCTGTATGTATAAAAACTAATGTACAATAACTCATAAAAATAAGAGCATCTAGCTAATAAGTCATTTATCAGGCTATAAACGAAAAGAAATTACTTTGAAGATTCGAAAATAAATATCGCTTTAGATTTTACGTTCATCGCGGATATACCCGATATTTTTACTACCAAACTATCGTCGATATCGTTGATTTAAATCCTACCAACTTTATGGATCTCAATATGTAACGAGAGGACGATTCGCTCTTTAAATCCTCTCTATGTACGTTCGTGTCATGCTCCAATTCCCTAGTCTTGTGTACACGTTTTTGCATCTAAATGCATTTTCCTCGAAAGCCTTTAATCGCTGTTTGCAGAACATCCGGTTTCAGTCCAAGCAATAAATAATCCGACTTTCTCGAAAACTCATTTGATATATCTTATACTTTTATTACGTATCTTTCATCAATACAGTTTAATTTTCTTCCAATGTAACGGTCAAAAAATAAATTCTATTAAGAATTTAATCAATACGAAATAATTATTAAATATTCTACATATTTATTATATTTTGAACACAAAAATTTTTAACACAATTTAATAATGTAAAAATTATATATGAACGTACATTAGAATATTTCGTATTTTCGAAAATATTTATCTTGGATATTTTTCGTTAATTCAAATGTGTAAATCAAATAAATCCCCCAAATAGTTTAATGCATTTTACGAATAAATAAAATAATATTTATAAAAATAAAAAACGATAACTAAATGTAAATCATGATAATAGAAAAGTGAGATTATGCATTCAAAATAGTGACGCGCTGAATTGAATTGCCATTGAAAGGCACATAAGGGCGATGAAAATAACCATGTGGACGATCAGAGATCTTTTAGAAATTTTATTGCTTTTATCGTAATAGCTTTTGAAATCGCTTCGGTTCTTCGTGAATCGATTTGAAGTCAATGTTATTCAAGTTTAATAAGCCCAACCGCAAGCACGAACATATGTGTATGTATTCGTGATCTTACGAGAAAAGTCAACGACCCCCCCTGGATTGCGAGGTCGCTGTGATAAAAGTTCTTGATATGATATTTTCGACAATCTCTTCCCGAGAGATATTGTAAAACTGGATGGTTATTTTTAGGGAATTTACATCAAATAGATTTGATCTGCAGCCCGCGTAATTTTTGACGAGAGATCGATAACAGATGAAGCTGCAGGATCATCCTTCGTGTTCACAGATGATCTTTATGGCAGATTTATGTAGGGCGTCTTATCGGTAGCCAAGCGAATCCTAGGGCACGTGCAGAACCAATACGACCTCTCCCTATCGCGCGTACGAAGGGAAATGCGAAACCATAAAGAGAGCCAGAGTTGCAATTGAATAAAGTGAAGCTGGCGTGCGGGGCTCAACTCAGCCCGCACAATGGCAGATTAGACGCGCGATCATTTTTTACATTCGTCTGGCTTCGTTCCAGCTGACACCGGCATATGGCCGCCAAAGATTACGAGGGTACCGCCGCCGCGGCCGTGTCCAATTTCCAACGTTATTATTATTTTAATCCCTTGAGCCCGAGGCAAGGTGCCGCGCGGTACCCGCGACGGATAGCGAAAATATTCTCCATCGCGGTAATTTCAATTGCAAAAGCGCCCTTTTTAGCTTCCCATGATCCATCTCGGGCTGCTGCGTACCGCACTGACTTTGAAAAATGAGATACATTCTGCACGATGCATAGCGCAAGCGATCAAATAGATTTCACGGATAATATGTAAAGAAACGTATTATGTCAAGAACTTTTGTTTGAGATTAACAAATTACCCGGTCATAACAGTAAGATGCATTGTAACGCTTTTGCGATTCATATAAACTTTCACGTGTGTGAATACGAGCCATTTTTAACAACCATATTCTTGAATTTATAAAAGGAGAGATGCATTTCTGCTGCGCAAAGTACTGACTTTTTCATCGCGCCAGCGAGCCGAATCAAACCTGTTTTCCGATTGGAGGTGCAGATGGCAACAAAACTCAGGACAAGGTAACACGATACGAGGAGGAGGAGGAAGAGGAGAGAGAGAGAGAGAGAGAGAGAGAGAGAGAGAGAGAGAGAGAAGGAGGAGAGA